AAAAAGAAATAACGTTGTCGGTCAGTCCACTGTTATGACACGCACTCAATAGCTCTCCCACCTCCCATGCATAGCAGCATGAAATAAAACAAGGTCCTGAAAAAGGTTCCAGCTCACACATGGATAAAGCTTATCTCATGGTGGCTAGAGAGCTCTCATGTACAGCCTCTATAGAGAGTTCATAGTAGGAATGTGTTGCATAACTGCTGGGTCCTTTCTGGACTAAGGCTCAGTTTATGACAGCCACTTGATATTAGATCTTCAAAGGAAACTTTATTCCAGGTACGTTGCCATTTTAATGTGTCAAGAAGCAGGCCTTTTCTGTAACGGCACCCACCCTATGAAACTCCCTTTCCGGGGATGCCTATCTGGTTACCATTGAGAGGTTCTTTGGGAGGCCTGCATAAATGACTGGAAGATATATGAATTTAAACTTGCAAGAAATTGTTTATCTGTCTCATTAAGGAGGTTACAGACCAGCTTTGTCCAGTGGAGGCTGGACGACCATCTTTCGGGTATGTTGTAGGTATGTAGGGCTATCTTTCAGCTATGCTCCTGCAGAGTGCAGGGGATTGGACTAGATGACCTGCAAGGTACCTTCCAACTCTAACATTCTATGATTCTATGGTTTCGTAGGATCTTTTGTACTTTTTAAATTGAAAGATGTCAGTGTGATGATTAGCCTTCATTTAAGAACCATTCTTGGCTAACTGGCAGGATATAACTTTTAACATGAATGCATATATGAACAAAACAACATGCAATGCAAGCAAGGGGAAAGCAGAGGGAGAGGTCATGATGATTGCATATGATATATATTTTCTCAAAAAACAAACAAACCACACAACACCAAACCCACTGGGGAAGGGCATGTTCTTGGCCACCTGGGAGAGAAAGATTCAGAGGTAAGGAGAATTAAAGGCCACCTCAGAGTTAGTCACTCTCCTGCAAGCATTTCCATTCCCCACACCAGGAAAATCCCTGCAGGGGATCTGATATGATAAGGTTTAAGAACAGGGCATGAGGTGCTCACAGTGAGGTCAACAAAGTATGTCCAATGGTATGGCAAGCAGGAAGTGTATCTGTTGGAGAGGGAATTTCTGGAAAGATCCTCTCCCAGGCTCTATCCATCCTTTGTTGTTCTATGGACCTGGCCCCCCAAGCCCTGCAAATGCCACAGGATCTGTGGGAATTCCCTGCCTATTGTGCACAAGAGTTCTTGGCCTCTGCCCTGCCTCTGACCTTTGGCTTGTCAGTTTCATAATGTGGAGAAAGAGGATAAGAGACCAGATTAAATACAAGAGCAGGAGTGAGAAGGCCTTGGCAGCAATCTTGGGAACTGACACAACGTCAGCCATTAAAAACCCACTCAGTGAGATGACAAATATTAACTCCGTTTGGGAACAGATATGGGAGTGCGGGAGGTCAGTGCCGAGGACAGTGTGCTGGGCTCTACCATAGAACATGGATGGTGAAAGAGTCGTGGGGCATGTTCAACACAGCCTGATGTTTTCTGGTGACATAATTTAAAGGAACCATATGGAGGATCCATTTTCCGAAATGTGGTGAAAATGGGTGATATGTATGGACTGGGGAAAATGCTTATGAAGAGGATTCCCTTGAATTTTTAGAAAAGCCCTGTTCTTTGATGCAACCAAGTAAAGAGGTTGTTCTGGGCCTGGCTCTCAGTTCATTGGGTTTTAGTGTTACAGACACGCATTGGGATTCCTTTTTATAGCCTCCACTTATGGTGCCACCTCCATATCAAAAAACAAGCCTTTTCATAGCCTTCTCTCTCTGAGGAGGACAGGCTGTAATGGTAGTGTCCATATTCATTCATTCATTCATTCATTCATTCACATAATTATAAAGTAAACAAATTGTAAATACATTCATTCATAAAGTGGGAAGACATAGTTTTCACACTGGAAATGGGATGTGGGTGATGCCCTCAACCAAATCCCGACTGATATCCTTATCACGTCTGCCTCCAAACTGCTTCCAAAGTGAGCTAGACTGGGAGAAGAGAGCCTGAAATGAAAGAGAATAGAGAGGGAAGGCAGCATGCTGTAGCCCGATCTTGTCAGATCTTGGAAGCTAAGCAGGGTTGGTACTTGGAAGGGAGACCACCGAGGAAGGCAATGGTAACCCACCTCTGCTTCTCACTTGCCTTGGTAGCCTCTTGCTGGGGTTGCCATAAGCTGGCTGAGACTTAACAGCACTTTACCCATATAGGGAGGTATGGTGTAATTGAGCCGGGGTGGGGGGACAGCCCAGTGGGTTTCACACAGTAGCCTAGCACTCCAGCCAGCCTGGCGGGATGTCATACAATGCTCTCAACAGGTTGGCAGCTCACCAGCCCCCAAAGGGGAAATGAGCCAATGTGAGGGGAAATCAGGGGCCTGAATGAAGAGGATGCAAGACCTCCAGTAGAGAGACAGGCCTTGTCAGTGCCCAGAAGAGGGGGAAAGAGGCCCACAGATGGGGAGAATTGAACCGCTGGCACCCCTGCAGCATTTAGAAAGTGGTGAGGCAAGAGGTGAGAGGAAGGCATGCCAGTTTTGAAGGAGGTCCGCTAACTTGGAGCACAAGGGACCTGTGAAAGCAACAGCAGAAGTGTGAATAAGGACCAAGCAAGCAAGAAAAACTGGAAATCCAAAGATCCATTGAAGGGATCCAAGGTCCCTGGTCTAAGGCCCTGACAGCCCTAAGGCAAGCCCCCCTCCCCCCGACTTGTTGAGTCTCCCACTGGTTGCCAGCCAACCCTAACAGTATAGTGTAAGATTTGGGGGGCCCACTGCAAGGGAATCATTGTATGACACTGTACGGAAAGATCTGCACTGGCTGCCTGCCTATCTGAACAGAATGCAAGTGCTGGTCAGGGGTCGTTTCGTAGAAAAAGAGCTAGGGGAACTCATTAGCATAACTCATTAGCATATGCCATGCCCCCTGACATCACCGGAAGTGTGTCATAAGGCCACACCCCCTGACATTACCAGAAGTGTGTCATAAGGCCACACACCTCGCCCCCAACGGTAAGGCCACACCCCCTGACATCACCAGAAGTGTGTCATAAGGCCACACACCTCGCCCCCAATGGTCCCGGCCGCCGCTGCCGGCCTTGCAGGGTGGCTGGAAGCAGGGGGCGGGGCTTCGTCATGTGCCCCGCCCCCCGAACCTCACCCAGGGGAACTGCGATCCCCCCCAAAATGACCTCTGGTGCTGGTTCTTACCTTTAAGGTCCTAAATGGACTAGAGCTTAAAGGACTGACTCTTCCTGTACTGTCCAGCCAACCATTAAGATTCTCTTCCCAAGCCTTGCTCTCTGTGCCCAGCCTGCAGAACTGAGATAAGTGGAGACCAGAGACAGGGCTTTTTCAGTGGTTGCACCTTGCCTATGGAATGCTCTCCCCCTTGAGGCTTGCCTGGCACATACCTTACTCTTCTTTTGTACCTGGTGGAATGGCTTGCCTTGGCTAACAAGGTCAGGAAGATTTCCACACTTGTCATTCCACAGAATGTATAAACCAGAGCGGTTCAGAAGGGTTTTGCTTAAAGCAAACAAAGTTGCAGTTAAAGTAGTATCTGTGAAATTTGAGGTAGTCTTGATTGTGTGTATTATGCTGTTTTTAACCTTGTCCTTTCATTTTGTGATCCAGCTTGAATCCAGTTTCATTACTCCCAAATGTAATGTTTTACTGCAGTATTTCTCCAACATTGTTGCTTTAGTAGTGCATTTCCTAATCTTGGTGGATCAGAGTATTGCACTGATTTTACAGCACTGGATTTAGTTGCAATCTGCCTTGAGTTCAGTGAGAAAGTTGGACTATAAATGAAGTTCTCTCCCACTGGGGAGAAAGGTAGAGTATAAATGAAGTAAATAAACATAAATAATAAACTCAAAATCAATAAATCTTGTCCATAATCACAGTTATTGATAGATAAATCAAACCCTGACCTGGATAGTCCAGGCTAGCTTGATCTCACTAGATTGTGGAAGCTAAGCAGGGTTGGCCCTGGCTAGTATTTGGGAGACCTCCAAGGAATACCAGGGTTGTGATGTGGGGGCAGGCAATGGCAAACAATCTCTGAATGTCTCTTGCCTTAAAATCTTCTAGGGTCTCCATAAGTAAGCTGTAACTTGATGGTGGAAGAAAAAAAAAGATAGACCAAGAACAGCCATGTAGAAAGCACAGGCTAGATGGAACTGGGATGTGGCCTGTCCCCCAGCAAATAAAAAGGTGCTAAAGGTGAGGTTCACCCAAGGTGCAAAATCTGCCAACTAAACCACTGAAGGAAAGGTTCTGTTGGCACCTCACAAAACAGGTGCAGCTGAGGTTTCATGGGGGGAACCAGCATTTGAAAGTTACTGAGGTCTGTGCAGTATGAAAGGTATAATACTGGATATCTTTTACTTCTTAAAGCATGGCAGGGTGGAGGAAGAAGAAGAGTGAGAGAGACGAGTTGTGAAGAGGGAAAGGGTCATTTTGCACACAAAGATAACAAAACCACTAACCCCAACAGCCCAGGTGTGTGTCAACAGATTCCAATCTATTGTTTCTTCCTGGGAATCAGTGTCAATTGAGCAAGGAGCCATGTAACTTCTCAGTGAGTGCTCTCATTTTGTGCCTCCTCCTTCACAAAAGATTTCTGCCAAGCAAAGCTTTGTAGAAGCTGGACATCTGTCGCTCTTTGGGAGCTGCGTGTATGTGTGTGTGCGTGTGTGCGTGCATGCGCGTACCCGTGATTTGGCCATTCAAAAGTAGTGACCTGTCAGCCTTGATTGATGGCCACAAGCCTCTGGTCTCAACCCCTCCTGTGGGAAAAGAGGGCCAGCCAAGGAGTGCTCTCATTCACATGCTAATACCAGGCTATAAATGCAAGCAGAGTGCAGCACTCATGTAAGAGAAAGCCCCCAGAAGGCAAGGGGAGCGGCCAGCTGCCAAAGGCCTCCCCCCTCCTTTCTCCCTTAAGCCTTGGGGCAGGCGAGGTGGACTGCAATGACTGCCACAACTGTGGCCAGCGGCGGCAGCGGCAGCAGCAGCGTACAGAAACTTTCCAACACCAAAGAGGAAAGAAAGGTATGCCACTTTTTGTACATGGCTTGTGTCAGTTTGGTATTACAAAGGTATTACAAAGATTTCCTTGGGCTAGTTCTGCATGACCTGAGGGAGTAAAACTTTAAGCAAGGCTAGGTTCTAGGAGTTTTGCATTCAGGCAGGACAGACCAGGCTAGCCTGATCTTGTCACATCTTGGAAGCTAAACAGGGTCAGGCCTGGCCAGTATTTGGATGGGAGACCACCAAGGAAGTCCAGGGTCACCATAAAGAGGCCGGTAATGGCAAAGTCACCTCTGAACTCTCTTGCCTTGAAAACCCTACGAGGTCGCCATAAGTCAGCTGCAACTTGACTGGCAAAGAAGAAGAAGAAGATTCAGCCTGCTTCACTAGAAGTAACCTCTTGGACCCTTGTGGAGCGATTCAGCTGCAGGCATTGTTTATGCTAGCTGACATCTGGTTGCATATAGAGCAGCTGGAACAAAACCCAGGGTACAAAATGTAACATGTATATGACTGTGTGTATGTTCTGCATTCTTTTGTCAAAAATATATATATATAGACTTACAGCACAATTCCTAAAAAATAGATTGCAATTAAAATGAAATATATATTACTTCAGGAGTGAAAAGTCTTGTAACACTGGATTTGTGGAATTCATAAGCTACCTATCATTTCCATTGTAATTGTGGGGGGAAATACAGGTGCAAAAGGTTTCAAGAAGAATGGACTGGAATAAGTGGGTTGAGGCCTTTTAAGTAATCGATAAACACAGAGCACCAAGATATAGGATGTGATGGGAAAGTGTATCACATAACAATCAGTTTTGAGGAGAGTTTTTGAAAGATGGCTGTACAGATGAACTCTGGGTAGAATTGTCCTTGTCCTTGTACATCTGCCTTTGTGACTAGGTTGTTCGGACTACTCTGTTGCTAGACAAGGATGTGCATTTGGAGAGAGACACTCAGGTATCTGTGTCTGAGACAGAAATGCTCTGCAAAAGCAGTGTTATTATGGTCACTGCACAGGTGAGAATTATAGAGCATTGCTGTCACACACTGGCACAGTGCCAATGAACTACTCCTTATAACATGGGAAACAGATCTACTTTTAGGAATGGAGCCCTATATTGTTTCCCAAGAAAGACCTACTTGTCCCCAAAATATGATCACAACCTTGAAGCAAAACAACTTGCTCCTAACATTCTTCTGTTAATCGTTGCAGTTAAGGAAACCTTTGATTGAGCGAAAACGAAGAGAAAGGATTAACAACTGTTTGGATCAGCTCAAAGAGACGGTTGTTGGAGCTTTTAGGCTGGATGTAAGTACAGGATTTTGACATACGTCTATTCTCAGTCTCTCCCCACGAACTGGTTTCATTTTTTTTCCCTAATCCAGCATCTTTCCAAAAGATTCCTGATCCATTTTGTTGTTTCTTTTTTAACCAGCAATCTAAACTTGAAAAAGCTGATATCCTTGAAATGACAGTCAAGCATCTCCAGAATATCCAGAACAGTAAGATGATGGGTGAGTAGAAATCTGTACTTGCATGGTTTGTGCAGCTACCCCTTACTTTGTGTCTGGAATGTTTAGACAAACGAGAAGAACTGTATTCTATAAAACGGGGAAAGCCATTCAAAGACTAGTACAAGAAAGAAACTCCCATTTTCCGAACACAGTGTTTCACAGCCATGCTGGTATAAAGTAATAACCGTGGAAATTCAGTTTAACCAATGATACAGAAAAGTTTGAAGGAAAAGCTATATCAGCTCTGGAGTGGCAAATTCCTTGAGTGGGGAACTATATCAGTTCTGGAGATTGGGAAATTTGGGAGACGTACCTGAGGTGAGTGGAATAATTTAGGGTTACCAGGTCCCCCCGGCCACCAGCAGGGGATGGGAGGGAAGGCAATTTGCAGGGTGTGGTAGCACACTAGGACTTCTGTTTCCCCTAGATTCTATGGTATACCATAGATTCTGCCCTCTGAAGCTGTTGTATATTCCAGAGAAACTGATCTCTGTGCTCTGGAGAGATCAACTGTAATTCTGGGAGATCCCCAGGCCCCATGTAGAGGTTGTGGTGCCAAAAGAATGTAATAAAGGTTGAGCCTCGCTGAGCCTGTGGGCATCTTTAGAATTGTGTGAAAGAAGGGTGGGCATGACAATCAGGTAGTTGGGCAATAACGCTGGCCCCACTGTCCAACTGATTGGCAGTGGACAGAGGTGGGAGGAGCTTTTCCTGCTTAGAGATTGCTAGGAAAAGGTCCTGCCCATTTTTCACAAATGCACAGGTGGCTGCCAAAAAAAGTCCTACACTAGATACATTGGTGCCCCTGGGTGCCACAATGGAAAGAGTATAGCAGTCACTTTAGTCAATAGTAGTCATGGGCCCCAGTCACACGGGAGGTTTAGGCCCGGAAGAGGGACGGATCGGGGGCGCATAAATGCACATAAAAAAAGAACCTATAAAATGGTAGGACCTACCTGAAATGGTGCAGCAAGCGCAGCCATGAGATCGCCGGCGTGCCCATCTTCAGGAGCAATCGAGGCTCCCGGCTGAACTGCGCATGTGCAGCCGGCTTCCTCGCTCTCCCTTCCATGGCTTTCCCCTGGCATCTGATCGTGCTGGGGAGCAACTGCGCGGTGGCTCAGGGGATCTGTCTGATCCCGCCGCCGCGTGTCTCTTTTGGTGCGGCTCTAAAAAGCCGCACTTTGGCCGTGTCATTTCCCCCCTGTGTGGCTGGAACCATGGGCATTTTCAGAGGTGATCTTTGTAGTTTACACTGCTGAAAACATAGAGGGAAATCATATTTAAACTGTTTTTAGCAGCAGCAGTAGCAGCTCAAATGTGTATGGCCCAAAAGCTAAAAGGTTGGCTAAACGAACTTAGGTAATGTTAACATTTTACAGCACTTTAAAAACAGGAAACCCTTCAATACCATAATGCCATTTCTATATATATAAAAGAAAGTCCTCTCACCGTAAAATCAACGCCCAGGCTAAACAACTGGACCTAGAGACACCAAATTCGGGGAGAGCGTAGGTGCTCGCTAATAAGGGGTTTTTAGAAATTCGACCCCTAAGTGGGTCAAAAGGGGAAAAATGTGCTCCCCCCATTGATTCCTATGTGGCTGCCAGGCAGCTGCCTCTCTGCAGCCCCCACTTTCTGATTGGTCAGCTGCAGAGCTCAGTGTTCTGAGGTAAAAAAAACCCCCAACAGTTACAGGGGACTGCAGAGAGCTAATGACAGTTAAGGAAATCAGGAGTGGCCAAC